TGCCACCTGCCAGGTGTTAGAGGAAGACAGCTATTTGTTCATACTTTTTTTTTTGTATGCTCCTCGTTGAGTTCCAAGGTTGCCTGTGTGAAATCTCTCTCGGACTCCTTTCAGGGAAGCTTAGTTGCTCAGTGCCCGAAGGCCCTTGTCAAACCCTGGTTGTCCCTGAGGTGGTTGCCACAAGACACGGCCAGATCAACAGCATCTCTCGCAGGAGTTCTGGCCCACACCAACCAGAAGGCTCTGCTCAGGGAGCCCTGAGCAGGGTGACGTAGCAGGGGACGCGAGGTGAGGATGGCGGAAGTGAGCAGGGGCCACATGTCACCAAGGATGCCAGACTGCAGAGTGGGGCTTGATGGGTAAGACAGTGGGGACTGCTGCAGGAGGGTGGGGTGAGCCCATCTGAGGTTGGAGAGATGACTCTGGCGGCAGGACTGGATGGCTGAGGCCACAGGCAAGGAGACCATGGCTGCCGTCATCCAGGTGGGGTGAGAACCTTTTTCAAAAATTAGTATACCTGTATTTTTTATATTTCAATAGCTTTTGTGGTACAAGTGGCTTTTTTTTTTTTTTGGAGACAGAGTTTCGCCCTTGTTGCCCAGGCTGGAGTGCAGTGGTGCAACCTCAGCTCACTGCAACTTCTGCCTCCTAGGTTCAAGTGATTGTCTTGCCTCACCCTCCCAATTGCTGGGATTACAGGAGCCCGCCACCATGTCTGGCTAATTTTTTTGTATTTTTAGTAGAGATGGAGTTTCACCGTGTTGGCCAGGCTGGTCTCGAACTCCTGACCTCAGGTGAGCCACCTGCCTCAACCTCTCAAAGTGTTGGGATTACAGGCGTGAGCCACTGTGCCTGGCCCCCTAAGTGACTTTTTTGTTAGATGGATACATTACATAGCAGTGAATTCTGAGATTTTAGTGCTCCCATTCCCGAGTAGTATACATTGTACCTAATGTGTATTTTTTTTTGATCCGTCCTCTTCCCACCCTCCCCCTTGGTCCCCAAAATCCATTGTATCATTTTTACACCTTTGCGTCTTCATAGCTTAGCTCCCAATTATGGGTGAACATACGATGCTTGCTTCTCCACTCTTGTGTTGCTTCATTTCGAATAATGGCCTCCAGCTCCATCCAAGTTGCAGAGTATTCTGTGATACCCTGCTGCTTTGTGACATTAGAAAACCTGGGTCAGGGGCTCAGGACAGATCTGAGCTACAGCCATAGACAGGGAGTTATCTGAAGATCGCTTAGGACCTGTGGAGAGTGAGCCAGGGAGCGTTTCCTGCATCAAACTTGTCCTTTGGATTAACAGGTTAAGTAGCCACATTGATGGAACCCCCTCAAACCTGTGTTGCTGTAGGGGACAACACTGTGTCACAGGCATCATTCATCAAGTCCCAAGAGCCCTCCAGGGTGTTTTGCTCAAAGGCAGGGGGAGGCAGAAGGATGTCAGATAACCTGATTGATGGCAGCTTTAGGATGAGGCCCCATGAAGGCACTGGGAGGGCAGGTCCCAGGGGACATCCAGCTCTCTAGGAGGGCAATGTGTGGTGGGGAGGGTTGGCAGATTTACGGTGACCTGAAGGAGATGAATCTAAACTGTTCAGAGACAGGCCTCAGCAGGACTTGCTTTAAAGCTAACTCTTTGCTAACAACTGAGTTGAAAGTTTTAAAAATTCCAGTATTCCCAAATCATGGGCAGCTGATACTCCAAAGGACATTAAGAATATCTACTTCAATGTCTGTTTCCAGAAGAGGAAATTGAGGCCCAGATAAACAGATGCAGTAGACACACCAGGCTGCCTATTCCTGCGGAGAATGTGTAGCCACAACCTTTGTTTCCTTGGGAAAGGGCTCCCTCCATAAAGGATTATGGCCAGTTTCCTTCCCTCTTGCCAGGCAGTCTGCTAGGAGCTTTATCGAGACTTTTTTTTACTAGTTGTTTCAATGCCCTAAAACTTACAATCAAGTTCTCAGATTAATTTATCAAAAGTCAGAGAGCTCTGGAAGGGAGGCAAGGACAGAATGAAGGAGAAACTGTTGGATTTTTGAAATATGAAAACCTGTTTGTAAATTACTTGCCCCTTCTGTCATAGCCACTGCTGCTGAGAGCTCTGGGCTCAGACATTCCGATGCAAATACTGCCAGACCTGAGCATCCAGCGGGCTTCCCTGCTGCTTCCCAGCAAAGAAATGAGCATTTCATGGGGGCGCTCAGACAGCTCAGGCAAAGGAGTGATGGCTCCCTTTGGGGATTCTTTTCCCAGCCCTTGCGACTCAGAAGTGGGATTCCTGGACTGGCAGCATCAGCAGGTACTGAGAGCTTGTTAGAAATGCAGACTCCTAGGCCACATCCAGACCTGCTGAGTCAGCACCTGCATGTTAACAAGACCCCCAGGGGATTCCTAGACAAGGTGCAGTTTGAGCAGCATGGTGCGAAGTTGCCCTATCCCACAACACCCTTTTTTTTTTTTTAATTTAGGTTCTGGGGTACATGTGCAGGTCATGCAGGTTTGTTGCATAGGTGCATACGTAACCAGGTGGTTTGCTGCCTCTGTTCCCCCTTTGATTATATCTGGCATTTCTCCCCAAGTTATCCCTCCCCTAGCCCCCCTGCAATTACCCCCAGTGTGTGATGCTCCTTTCCCTGAGTCCATGTGTTCTCACTGTTCAACACCTGCCTATGAGTGAGAACATGTGGTGTTTGGTTTTCCGTTCTTGTGTCAGTTTGCTGAGAATGATGGTTTTCAGATTCATCCACGTCCCTACAAAGAACACAAACTCATCGTTTTTTATGGCTGCATAGTATTCCATGATGTATATGTACCACATTTTCTTTGTCCAGTCTATCATTGATGGACATTTGGGTTCATTACAGGTCTTTGCTATTGTACACGGGGCTGCAATGAACATATGTGTGCATGTGTCTTTATAGTAGAATGATTTATAGTTCTTTGGGTATATACCCAGTAATGGGATCGCTGGGTCAAATAGAATTTCCATTTCTAGATCCTTGAGAAATCGGCACACTGTCTTCCACAATGGTTAAACTAATTTACCCTCCCACCAACTGTGTAAGAGTGTTCCTATTTCTCCACAGCCTCTCCAGCATCTGTTGTCTCCAGATTTTTTTAAATGATCACCATTCTACCTGGTGTGAGATGGTATCTCAGTGTGGTTTTGATTTGCATTTCTCTAATGACCAGCGACGATGAGCATTTTTTCATGTTTCTTGGCCTCATATATGTCTTCTTTTGAAAAGTGTCCATATCCTTCGCCCACTTTTGAATGGGGATTTTTTGTATATCTGTTTTAGTTCGCTGTAGATTCTGGATATTAGTCCTTTGTCAGATGGGTAGACTGCAAAAATTTTTTCCCATTCTATTGGTTGCTGGTTCGCTCTAAAGATGGTTTCTTTTGCTGTACAGAAGCTCTGGAGTTTAATTAGGTACCATTTGTCTATGTTGGCTTTTGTTGCCATTGCTTTTGGTGTTTTAGTCATGAAGTCCTTGCCTATGCCTATGCCCTGGATGGTTTTGCCTGTTTTCTTCTAGTGTTTTTATGTTAGGTTTTATGTTTAATCCATCTGGAGTTAATTTTATTTAAGGTGACAGGTAGGGGTCCAGTTTCAGCTTTCTGCACATTGCTAGCCAGTTTTCCCAACACCATTTATTAAACATGGAGTCCTTTCCCCATTCCTTGTTTTTGTCAGGTTTGTCAAAGATCATATGGTTGTAGATGTGTGGTATTGCTTCTAGGGGCCTCTGTTCTGTTCCATTGGTCTGTGTCTCTGCTTTGGTACCAGTACCATGCTGTTTTGATTACTGTAGCCTTGTAGTATGGTTTGAAGTCCAGCTGTGTGATGCCTCTGGCTTTGTTCTTTTTGCTTAGGATTGTCTTGGCTATGTGGGCTCTCTTGTGATTCCATATGAAGTTTAAAGTGTTTTTTTCCAGTTCTGTGAAGAAGGTCATTGGTAGGTTGATGGGGATAGCACTGAATCTATAAATTACTTAGGGCAGTAGGGCCATTTTCACAATATTTATTCTTTGTAACAATGAGCATGGTATGTTTTTCCATCTGTTTGTGTCCTCTCTTATTTTGTTGAGCAGTGGTTTGTAGTTCTCCTTGAAAGAGGTCCTTTACATCCTTTGTTAGTTGTATTCCTAGGTATTTTATTCTCTTTGTAGCAATTGTGAATGGGAGTTCCCTCTTGATTTGGCTGTTATTGGTGTATAGGAATGCTTTTGATTTCTGCATATTGATTTTGTATACTGAGACTTTGCTGAAGTTGCTTATCAGTTTGAGAAGATTTTGGGCTGAGATGATGGGGTCTTCTAAATATACAATCATGTCATCTGCAAGTAGAGACAGTTTGACATCCTCCTTTCCTAATTGAATAGGCTTTTTTTTTTTTTTCTTGCCTGATTGCTCTGGCTAAAACTTCCAATACTATATTGAATAGGAGTGGTGAGAGAGGGCATCCTTGTCTAGTGCCTGATCTCAAAGGCAATTCTTCCAGCTTTTGCCCATTCAGTATGATATTGGCTGTAGGTTTGTCATAAATAGCTTTTATTCTTTTATGATATGTTCTGCCAGTACCTAGTTTATTGAGAATTTTTAGGATGAAGGGCTGTTGAATTCCGTCAAAGGCCTTCTCTGCATCTATTGAGATAATCATGTGGTTTTTGTCTTTGGTTTCGTTCATGTGATGGATTATGTTTATAGACTTGCGTATGTTGAACCAGCCTTGCATCCCTGGGATGAAGCCCACTTTCGTGATGAATAAGCTTTTTGATGTGCTGTTGCATTCAGTTTGCCAGTATTTTATTGAAGATTTTTGCGTCAATGTTCATCATGGATATTGGCCTGAAGTGTTTTTAGTTGAGTCTCTGCCTTGTTTTGGTATCAGGATGATGTTGGTCTCATAAAATGAATTAGGGAGGATTCCCTCTTTTTATATTGTTTGATACAGATTCGGAAGGAATGGAACCAGTTCCTCTTTGTACATCTGGTAGAATTCAGCTGTGAATTCGTCTGGACCTGAACTATTTTTCAACCAGAACAGCTTTTCTGCACTGTTGGACCAAGGACATGCTACCCAGCAACCTCACCCACCTGAAATGCAGCCCCTCTGCTTCTGCTGAAAGCCTTCAAAGCAACAAGTTAGTAACGAATGTTATGCAATGAGGTTCTTTGCTTTATAGATCAAATACTCAGGCTTCTCAAGAACGGAGATGGAGGGTGGGCACTGGGGCTCATACTTGTAATCTCAGCACTTTGGGAGGCTGAGGCGGGTGGGTCACCTGAGGTCAGGAGTTTGCGACCAGCCTGGCCCGCATTATGAAATCCTGTTTGAGGCAGGAGAATCTCTTGAACTCAGGAGGTGGTGGAGGTTGTAGTGAGCAGAGATCATACCACTGCACCCTAGCCTGGGTGACAGAGTGAGACTCTGTCTCAAAAAAAAAAAAAAAAGGCGATAGAATAGAGATAAGCACTCACAAAGTCACCTGGGGCTTTTGCTTAGGGGCAGTGACAGTCCTAAAGGCCTACCAAGGCATTGCTGCTATAAGGCTATCTGATCACTGATACTACAGAGATGACCCTGAGTGATTTCACAACAAGTTAAATTTATGTTCATTATTCCCAGATCGTTCAAAGGACAGTTGACATTTTAGATATTCTTATAAAAAGGTTGAGAAAAAAAGTACACAAAAGTCTTCTAGAAAGTTAATGTATGTGCTACAATACTTCCTTCCCCCAATAATACCAGAGACATGCGGTTACCCTGTGTGTCCACTCACTCTTTCTATAGATTTTACAGACAAGCTGACCTCTCCCATTCCCCCAACCTTCCTTTCCCAGTCAAAGCATTGGTGGTGGTTTCTGCTGCTGGTTGATAAAACACACAGAGTCAAGGGTTTTTGTGTTTTTTTTTTTTTTTTTTTAGACTTTTTTTGGTTTGTTTTTAAAGAAACTGCATACATCATCAGACAAACAATAATTTAAATACCATGCAGTTTCTGTATGTACAAAACCTAGGCCACAGAGATCCAGTTTAATTTGTATTCTCTATTTACATCATTTTCCTCATACAGTCGTCATCTGTTAAATTAGAACCTGGGAGATCAGGGGATTGACGGTCACCACACTCACTCCTATACAAAGACAAACTATGTACAGACACCCAGGAAGCAACTGGAAAATGCAACTGGTCTGGGGATTAACAGACAAATAGGGAGAAAAAGTCATTTAAGGTGACCTTTGCCCACCGGCTGTGCACAGGGAGAACCTGCAATTCCATTCATCGAAGCAACACACCACGATTTTCATTTGGCAAATAAAAATAAATACATGTTCAGAAACGGGAGAAAAATAAACTCAGCTTTTCATCACATTTACCGTCACATTGTTTGGTTTCTCTAATCTGACATAAAGGCTTAAGTTTTAGAAGTTCTACAGGGCTTTGAGGGACTTTGGAGATGAATATATTAGCCATTTAAAAAAAGCTAGTAGGCTGATGGTGGTCTCTTCAGTCATTGATTGGGGGCAGGGTCGAGCAATGTCTAATCCACATGAAAAAAAATGCTCAACTGGGAATTTATACACACAAAATAAACTTTGACTTGCCAACTGCAGCTTTTTCAAAAAAGAGATGCATTTGAAGTCATCTAGCGCGCCTTTTAAATTTTTCCCTTAATTAATGTGAAATTGTCCTCTTGGAGAGTAACACAAATTGCTGCAGTTGTCATGACATTGTAGAAAATAAAAAGAAATTTGAATAGGTCCCTAGAAAGACCTTAAGGTTTTAAGTAAGGAAAGAGATAGCAGAGGGCCCATCCTGCAGGCCCCAGAGGTTGCTGAGCCTGTGTAAGAGCCACTTACAATGGGCTTGAAATGGCGGGGGAGGTACACCCCTCAGTCTGAGCAAGTGACTTCTGGAAAACAGGCCCTGCAGGAAGAACAGTGGAAATTGTGTTCAATTTCTTCCATGCACAAAGGGGACCGCAACATGAGGGCACTTTGGGCAGAAACCCTAGGCTGCTTGCTGGCTGGCCGCAGGGAGAGCCACTTGGGCCTTGTATCCCCAGGGAATCTGAAGGGCCAAGAACCAAGGCCAGTGGAGAAGCCACGGGCCGGGCCTATCATGGGAGGAGTCCAGTCAGTGGAATGAGTTTCCTTAGGACTCGCTCCTGGCCAGGGAGGACAGTCATGCCGGGGAGCCCAGCTGCAGTTAGAGGAAGTTCAGACTCAAAGCGTGGCGGGCAGGCACCTCCACCTGGAACACGTGCCTACCTGCCCGCCGTAGAGAAATTCAACGAAAGAGCCCTACATCTTTCGTCATACCATTTGCACATTCAAACGTCAGTAAGTCTTTCGGGAAGACTGTGTTTACAGTCACAATAAAATCCCGATCACATTTTCCCTGAACAATACCTCTCCCCATGGCAGGAACTATTCAGATTCAACAGTAAAAAAAAAAAAAAAAAAAGAAAAATAAGAGATCTAGTGATGGCATCCTCCTTGGGTCGGGCAGAGGCATACTGGCTCCAGGTGGCAAGGCAAAGCTGCAGCTGGAGGCACTGCCCAAAGAGCTGTCTGGAACTCTTCCAGCAGCTGTCCGGCTCCTGGGTTAGTGCCTACATGGGAGCCGTTCATGCCTGCAAAAAATGCAATGGCCTCATTGACGGGTGTGCATCCTAAGAGTAACCTGCTCCCACAGGGTTTGTGGTGGGAAGACTGGTTAACTTTTTAGAAAGGCCAAGGTGGCATCTTTTTAAATCCTGGACATGTTGGGTGGAGAGCGTGCCACCACCTAGAAAGACTGGGGTAACTATGGAGTCACCCCAGAAGGCGAGAGCGCTCTGTGACTCAGGGCCTGCGAGCTCTGTTAGGAAGAAAAATGAAAGCTGCAGTGGGCCTCGTTAGGATGCTTGTTGGGGTCTAGGAGGGTCCTGGCCTCATTGCACACCCAACCCTGGATGTCCCAGTCAGAGACACACCTGCAGTCATGCTCGATAGTATCATGAAGAGAGGGAGGAGCTCTCTGGTCCAACTGGAGCAGAAAAGGGCACTGTGGGCAGGTGTGGCTGGTGTTGGCCTGATTCTGGCACATGCCCAACTCTGGGGCTCCTTCACAGAAACTCTTCAGGGCCCACCCCCTCAAAAAAAAAAAAAAGGCCATGGAGTGGTTCTGGAGTGCCAGTCCCTCGGTGGCTGGAAAGCCAGTCCTACAGGAATGGTTTCTGGCCTGCATGCACTGGTCCTATACACAGAAGCTATGAACTCCCAAGCCACATACTCACTGGCTCTGAGGCACACAAAGAAAATCAGTGTCAGCCAAGCAGTTTCTGATCCCACAGGGTTCAACAGGGTCCTCCCACTTAGACTTATAAACAGGCACAGGAGTACCTTAGCAATGGCTGTGTGTGTGTGCGCGTGGACCACTCATGACATTGGACTCTGAATACCGATGAGTTGATTATTTGAACTGAGCAGATGACAACTTTCCCCATCTAAACCAGAGCTTCCTGAAAGGCAGCTCAGCTCAGGCAGGGGGGCAGGATAGATGCTCAGTGCCAGCCTTCGTTGCCAGGAGGCAGCCAGGCTTCCCCAGAAATGGGCCCTTCCCTTTTGTTCACTGTGTGGGTGGTGGCTGGAGGGAAAAGCCAGGGGCAACTGAGAAGTGCCCCCTCCCTCTTGGTGTCACCTCCAAAGGGCCCCCAAGCCAGATGTCATGTCTGGAGCCAGTACATTTGGCCAAGTGTAGAAGTCCAACCAGATCATTAGCTTTGCACAGTACCCCCCAACCCCCCGCCACCATAAAACAAACCCACCCTTTCAGCTTTCTTTGGACTCAGGTGACAGACACTTGTGAGGAAGAGGTTTGCTGGAGACTTCATGAAGGCAGTGCCTGCTGGGCCTGGTTGGAGAGGACAAGGACTGTTCCACCTGCCGGAAAGTCTTCAGTCAGGGCCATGCCAATGCCCTTGGCACTGCCGGGGGTTGGGATGCATTTTGGTGTCAGAAGTGAGACCAGCAGCTCGGACCCCCGAGCCATCACTTTCGCATTTTCACACATAAAATCCTGATTGTGTTTCCTTGATTTTTCTTCTTCTTTTTAAAAAAAGGCAGTTCAGAAGATTTACATCGTAATGGGGAAGTGAATAAATACCAGCACTTACGGTTCTTATAAATTTATGTTTTGAAGACAGCATAGCACTCAAGAGGAATTTGACTGTTAAGGTCTGTGAAACCTAAGGAAACAAATAATTAAATCAAGACCAAGAGGCTGCCAAAGGTGTGGGATTCAACAGTCCAATCTCCATCCTCAGGGAGGTTCCTGACTGAGAGGGAGGTGCGAGCTTCCCACCATCATCCCACAGGAGTGCCACTGAACATGCACGTGGTTTTGAAATAGCTTCATCTGGGGCAGCCCTGGTGGCCTCCAGCCCCTGCCATCAGCCTGGATCCAGCAGCAAGGTGCAGAACCCAATCCGTGTCTCTGAGTCTAGACTAAATACTCGTTACACCTTGTTTTTCTAAATATTCCCCTCAAAAGAAAGTCAGAATTAAGTCAATGGCTCTGTTGCTAACTAGCCATGTGACCTTATACAAGCCTCTTAATTACTCTGTGCCTCAGCTTCCCCAAATATTTTCATCATTGTGGACTGTCAGGGAATAATAGAAGCAGTCCACTTCAGAAGTCCCATGTGGGTCGTGTTTTGTTCAGGTTTCTGCTGCCTGTTTGCAAATTGGCAACAATCTATCCTCCTTGACCTAAGTTTTCATGAAAACCCACCTTGGGGTCATTAGTAGTCTGGTGCTTATCAGACCTTTAGTTTAAATGAGTGAAACTCTTTCCAGAAAGCTGCTTTTAGCTTGGGCCATCTGTGTTCCTCTTCCTCGTTTCAGTAACCAAGTGGAACCGCGTGCCTGCCTTCCTATTATCTTCCCTCTCACGGCACCCACCAACCCACTCATGACCCGCAAGTGGGAGAGCTTCATTTGGATATAAATATTACAATTTGAGAGGAAAAAAAGGAAAAAGAAAACCCTCAGTACTAACCTTGTTAAGTGTCTACTCAATTCATGAACTTCCATCTCAGTGCTTTTGAATTCATTGAGCTCCTTTCGGATGGCAGCCTGGAATCAAGAGAGGCCCATCAGTGTGCATGGGGGAGAGACAGAAAGGAACTCCCCTTTCATTTCATTCCTAACAGCATAATTTTCTTCTTGCACAAAGACAAACAAGTTTAAGATGAATTCCTTAATGGGAGGAAGAAAAATCACCTGAGATGTCCTTTAGAACAAAGATTCACCTCCTTCCCTAAATCTAAATTGGAAATGATGACAGACTATTGCCCAAGTGTATTTTTCTTCTTCTTTTCACAGAGCTGTGGCATTGAGGGATCAGTGGTGGTATACACCTACCCCACACTCCTGGGGGCCCAAGAACACAGTAAATGTCAACTTCTCATCTACTCTAAATAAACAAAGCTCAGCACGGGCAGAGTGATGCCTCAGGGTGGAGACTTTCAGAAGGCGTGGATCAAATTCTCCAACCAAAAACTGGGGGTACAGGTGATGGCCAGCTCCCTACTAACCCTTTGCTTTTGCTCTTTTACAACTTCTCTGACTCTTCAGTGATGTATTTCACCACGGGAGATATGTTTTCAATAACCTTGCATGTTCGGAGATGATCCTGAATCACCCCATCCTTACAATACTGTCCAGGGTGGCAGTTGGAATCAGTCAGCAAAGAGAGGTCACGAGGGAGCAGGGGAGGAGGAGAGGCTGATAGAGAAGGCAGCAGACAACCTCACTCCTTCCTCGGGGATGGAAATTGCAAACACGTGTCTTCTTGCATAGCTCTGTCTATGGCTGATACTTGGTTTGATGGGAATATCAAGGCCTCAGGAGTTTGAGGATAGAAAAGCCTTCATGTAGGATCAGAATGGCCTTCCCCAGGAAAAGAAGGCTCGCTTAGGTTTAAGTGCCTGGGTAGCTGCTTTGGGTGCTGGGGCGATGGGGGCAGGGAGAGCACCCCATGCTTTCTGTCTTCTGTCCCCAGCAGCCATTGAGAAACTGGATATGTTTTCCACCCGAGAGCTACTCAGAATTCTACGAGGCTGCAAGTAGAGACGCCTGTGGCTTCCTTGCACACTTGCTGATACCCTTATCCTGGCAAGCATACCGTAGTGAGAGTGTGGTCTGGAGAGGACAAACAGGACAACAGTGAAAGCCCCTTCCTCTGTTCATATTTAGAAGACACTCCCGGGGAGCTGGGTTTGTCTGTCTGGGACATGGCGGTGCCAGTTCTTGGGCTGCTCCCACAAATTCCCTTGCAGGGAAGATGTGAATGCTGTGTTTACAGAGGAGGGCATGGTCTTCCACACATCACGTCTATGGGTTGACCCACCTGAGATCGTGTCTGGGAGAAGGCTATCTGCTTCTGGCCACTTCATTCCCACCCAGTCCCATCAGAGTGCAGCAATGTGCCTGCGTACATGTTTCTCACAATTCCTGGACCAAGGGTTGATGAAAATGCAGCCAGCCTGGGCTGTAGATGACTTGCTGCTGTATGGTACAAGAAAACTCTGGTCCCTGAAATGGACAGAGTGAAGGCCGGACTGTTGAGCAGAAGGCCCCAACACACTCCATAGTTTCTATCGTCACCTACGCAATGGGCAGAATCATTATTCCAGACTACTTTTTTTTTTTTTTTTTTTTTTTTTTGAGACAGAGTCTCGCTCTTGTCACCCAGGCTGGAGTGCAATGGTGTGATCTCGGATCACTGCAAGCTCGACCGCCCAGGTTCAAGCAATTCTGCTGCCTCAGCCTCCCAAGTAACTGGGATTACAGGCCTGCACCACCACGCCTGGCTTATTTTGTATTTTTAATAGAGACGGGGTTTCACTATGTTGGTCAGGCTGATCTCGTAAGTCCTGACCTCAAGTGATCCACCCACCTCGGCCTCCCAAAGTGCTGAGATTATAGGTGTGAGCCACTGCGCCTGGCCCAGGCTACATTTTTAAAAAGGCCCTTAACCCTCCAGTTCCTCATGGCGACCAGAGTAGAATCAAGAGGATTACCAAACAGAGCTGCATTCTGACACCTCATCTAGCAGACAGAGAAAATGATTTCTGATTGGCATCACTGCTTTTCTTTTCTTTCTTTTTTTTTTTGAGACGGAGTTTCACTCTTGGTACCCAGGCTGGAGTGCAATGGCACGATCTCGGCTCACTGCAACCTCCGCCTGCTGGGTTCAGGCAATTCTCCTGTCTCAGCCTCCTGAGTAGCTGGGATTACAGGCACACACCACCATGCCCAGCTAACTTTTTGTATTTTCAGTAGAGACGGGGTTTCACCATGTTGACCAGGATGGTCTCGATCTCTTGACCTCGTGATCCACCCGCCTCGGCCTCCCAAAGTGCTGGGATTACAGGCTTGAGCCACCGCGCCCGGCCTCATCACTGCTTTTCTTAAACAAAAAACTCAACCTCAGATTATTCTTGTTTTCTAAATTGGCAGTTTAGGGCAGTGAGATATGTTTTGTGACATCTTTTTTTTTTTTTTTTTTGAGATAGACTCATACTGTTGCCCAGGCTGGAGTGCAGTAGCATGATCTTGGCTCACTGCAACCTCCATCTCCTGGGTTCAAGCAATTCTCCTGCCTCAGCCTCCTGAGTAGCTCAGATTACAGGTGCCTGCCACCATGCTTAGCTATTTTTTTTTTTTAGTAGAGATGGGGTTTCACTATGTTGGTCAGGCTATTCTCGAACTCCTGACCTCATGATCAGCCTGCCTCGGCCTCCCAAACTGCTGGGATTACAGGTGTGTGCCACTGTGCCCAGCCTGTCATATCTTTTTGATTTGTGCACTATTGCTCTCCTGAGGTTATGCGGCTGCTTTGTCTTTTGGTTTGGTGAATCCCCTGTTGGGTGCTAGCAGCACTGTCCCCTATATGGAAGGTCTGTGATGAGCCTGAAGCCTCGTGCCTTCACCTGTCTATGCCTATCCAGTGCTATTCTCTCTTGGGCACAGCCTCCTAGGCTGCTGCTGCTCCTCCTGTAAAGTGGGCACAGTATTATGTGGCTTGTGTCTTCTCCAACTCAGTGGCCTCTCCACAGATTATCTGTGGCCTCTGGGGAAAGGTATTGGGGTCCCAGCACTCTGTTACGGGACAGCGGCTGAGGCCTGGCTCCAGGTCTCCCTGTAGGGTCCCCAGTGGTGAGCCCAGCGAGACACCCAGCAGATGGCCCTGCCACCCACTCTCCAGCTTGCCCCTCGGCTTACTTTGTCGGCAGCGGTGAGGCGGGTCCACGGCTTATCTGCCCTGCGGTCATAGTCCTGAGCGTCAGCCACCTCCACATAGTCACTGAAGCGGATGAGGATCTTCCTTTCCCGAAGCTCTTCCACCGTGGGCCTTTGACTGAGCTGCAGGGAGGGAGAGAGATGGACCCAGTCAGCCAGAGGGGTCGACCATGGCACTTGGTCTTGTCTGTGAACTTGCAGGTGTGGAAAATAAGGCAAGGCAATGGATGGGACACACAGTGAGTGAGGGGCGGGGGCGGGTGGTGGGTGGGGGGGACCCAAGTCTCCTGACTTGGAACTGGGACCTTTCTAGGTCCTAAGAGAGAGCTTTGTTATCCCTTACATACCCTCTAGGCCAAGCTCTAATTTTTTAAGAAACTTAAAAAAAACCAAAAACCTTTTGTTATGTAAATTTTCAACAGAAGGAAGGAGGTTAATATAATGAATTTGGTGTATTATCCCCAACTTCAATTGTCAACTCTCAACTACATCCACACGTGGATTTCTTTGAAACAAGTCACAGGCATCATATCATTTTATCTGTGTATATTTCAGTACAGAATATGTGAAGATTAGGACTTTAAAACATATTCACAATACTGTTTATACACCTATAAAAATCGATAATAATAAGCAGTCTCTGTCTTCATAACATTGCTGAGTCCCGGTCTTTACCATAAGTTTGTCTTTCTGTTTGGCTGTGGGCACCTGTTGTGGATTTTTTCTTATCTGTCCTACTCCCACCAGGTGACAGGGACATTCTACAACGATTCTGTCTTATTTTGGATGTGAGTCCACATCTGTGTGTCACATTGAGTCCTTTCTGCAAGATGGGTTTGCACTTGTGTTTTAGATACAAAAAAGTATACGTGCAAATGGTATGCAAACTCGGGGGTATGCAGGGATGGGAATCTGATGGCTGAAGAGGTCAGCTCAAACGTTACTGACAGCCCTCTGCAAGAAGTTCAAGGGGAAGGTCAGTCAACAAAGGTGGAGCTGAGTAAGTACAGAAAAAGGCACATTTATGGAGCAGCCCTTCAGATGGCTCATGATGAAGGGCTGCAGGAATGTGGAATGAAACAAGTAAAAGCAAGATGGATAATGTATTTTACCATCTCCCGATATTATCCATGAATACCCTTCCAATACTTCAGTAACATAAGGCTGACATTTCTATTATATCTTCCTGTCACCAGGTTTATGCCTCCTGGAGCAACACAGTTGCTCTCTTTAGGATGCTGCCAATTGATGTTCCACCAATGTTATTTAAAAGCCATTTTCCCTCCGAGCCCTAGACTATGTGTAATTCTATTACTAGAAGATACAATCTGATAGAATCTTGCAACTCAGGCCCACAAAACAAACACAAGGGAGTCCAAACCACGCTGGGGGTTCCGACTCCGCATCAGACAGCTGCCAGACACCCTTGGCTGATGTGAGAATGTTCCAGCTTGCTCCCATGCTGGCAGACCACAATTAGAAGATGGCTGGAGGATAGCAGAGTGGCAGATACTATCACACCCTGGACAGGGCCTGGGCAGGCCTGCAGCTCCCTCTTGGCCAAGGGCAGGAAGCTCTGGGGATCAGGGTTTCAGCAGGCTCTGGCTACCCCTTGCCTAACTGCATGTAGCCCTCCCGTGGCTTTGTTGGGCCGGACAACATTCTGGCACCAGTGCGGGCCTGTTGCGGGAACCCATAGGCTTCCCAGGCTGCTATGGCTGTGGTCATCGTAAACAAAAAATAGCGGTCATCCTGACTCCAAAATGTGTTCTCTGCAATGTGAGTGCAGGGAGATTTTGTGCTATAATTAAAATACGTAAAAACATGCAACGTTTGCCATATTTACTTTGGATAAACAGACTCCTACTCAGCATCCTGTCTGTGCTCCACAGGACTTGCTGAGTTTACCCCAAGAGGCTGGACAAAGTATTCTTTTCTTTTTTCCATTTTTCTTTTTTTTTAGATGGAATCTCACTCTGTTGCCCAGGCTGGAGTTCAGTGGTGCAATGATCTTGGCTTACTGCAACTTCCACCTCTTGGGTTCAAGTAATTCTCCTGCCTCAGCCTCCTGAGTAGCTGGCATTACAGGTGTGCACCACCATGCCCAGCTAAATTTTGTATTTTTAGTAGAGGTGTTTTGCCATATTGCCAGGCTGGTCTTGAACTCCTGATCTCAATTGATCCACCATTCCTGGCCTCCCAAAGTGCTGGGATTACAGGCGTAAGCCACCGTGCCCAGCCCAAGGTGTTATTTTCTAAGTGCCCTATGATGTAAGAAAAGTTGTTAAGCCCTGACTTCCAAATTTCTCTTCCTGGAAATTGTGACCTGGATTTTACTATCTATGACAGAGTCTAGATGAACTGCAAAGTAAGCATAAACACTGCAGGTCAGTGATTGTTTATTGTGTCTGAACATTGTGGGGCCTTAGATACCGCCTTTCCAATTGAAGACCGCACTGTGCCCAAGTGCTCAGAAGGAATGAGTGAGGATCAGCTGGCTGCTGCCCCTGACAGTTACAGTTGGTGCCCAGACCCCAGCACCAACTAACGGCCACCAGGATGCCCCTCTGTGTGCGTGGGCTCATGCCGCTGACCACAAAGGGCTCAGAAGATGCAACTTTGGCCTGGGGCTGGCTGTAGCCCTTGGGGCATCTGGCACCTGAGCCCCTTCCTTGAATGCTGCAAAAATAGTCTTTGCAGCCAAAGTCAGGTTTTCTGGGAATAATGGGCTGGTAGGAGGAGTAGGGGGCAGTGAGTGGTAGCATTTGTATTGTGTATTGCAGCAATAATATGTGCAACCAATTTAAAAAAAAGGGGTGGGGGTGGGGGAAGTAACTTCATTAAGACCCAAATTCTATTTTCTTTACTCTGTCACCCACTCTGGAGTGCAGTGACATGATCGCAGCTCAATGCAATCTCCACCTCTGGTGTTCAAGTGATTCTCCTGTCTCAGCCTCCCGAGTAGCTGGAACTACAAGCGTGTACCACCATGCCTACCTAATTTTTGTGTTTTTTAGTAGAGATGGGTTTTCACCATATTGGAGAGGCTGGTTTCGAACTCCTGACCCTTATGATCTGCCTGCCTCAGCCTACCAAAGTGGTGGGATTACAGGAGAGAGCCACTGTGCCTGGCCCAAATTCTACTTTGAATACAACTTAAAACCAAATGTATTTTTTTCCTTCCTCCTCCTTCCCAGGCATGTATCCATCCATTCATCCACTAGCTAGCATCTTTTTTTTTTTTTTTTTTTTGAAGGGGAAGGCAGGCAGGCATGTTGTTTTTTCTTTGTTTTTCTTTTGTTTTTGAGACAGAGCCTCACTCTGTTGTCTAGGCTGGAGTGCAGCGGTGCAAACTTGGCTCACTGCAACCTCCGCCTCCCAGGATCAAGTGATTCTCCTGCCTCAGCTTCCCGAGTAGCTGGGATTACAGGCATCCGCCACCACACCTAGCTAATTTTTTTATAGAGGCGGCGTTTAAGCTTGTTGGCTAGGCTGGTCTCGAGCTCCTGACCTCGTGATCCACTTGCCTTGGCCTCCCAAAGTCCTGGGATTATAGGCATGAGCCACTGTGCCTGGCCACAGGCATGTTTTTTTAAAAGGCAAAGCACCTAATTTTTATATTAGTCCCAATTTGGTTGAAGAAAATGACTGGTCTGTTGCTATCAGCCTCAGTTACCAAGTTTGATTTTTAATTTTTCTTACTAGTGTATTACAGTGAAATAGAACTTTATCGAAGAAATCCTTGGGCTGAGGGCAAGTCACTGAAAAGGAGCCACCATCACTGGCATCTGGTCTCGGTGTAATAAGGGTCCAAGAGGACAAGAACCTGCACAGGGCCAGGAAGTGATGATGTAGGTTCCCTACCTGCTGGCAGGCGTCACATCTCTGCCCGAAAAAGCAGATGCGGAAGCTGCTGCTCTGTCCTTCCAGCCTCTCTCTCAGAAGCAGTTATCCCCTTCTCTCAAGCTCAGTATTTCTAATTCCCCCAGCCAGTCCCAGAGAAGGGCAAATGATAAAATTCCAAGGCCATTTCCCACAGAGAAGAAAGGAGAGGTGAGGCGAAAGAGGCAATCACATGATTGTGGAGACCTGCAAAAATTACCAACTATTTGGGGTCCCCATCCCTAGTGTTACCCACCCTAGGGAGATGGGTACGGAAAGGAAGACTCTTTCTTTGCCTGTTGCCGCATCATGCAATTAGTCAGGTTCTCCATAAAATCATATCAACCTTGTTAAGAGACAGGAATTAAATAAATGTCTTATTTCTCTGTGACCATCTTTTAGTAAGCAACCTTAAAATCTGAGGAATTTTGGAGGTCCAGCAACCAATCCTGAATAATTTGATGGAAATCTGATTTAAACAATTTTTCCCCCAAGTGTCTAGATCTTTCTGTATCAGAAATGAAGGTTTATCACAGTGTCTTTTTCAAATCCCTGTCATTTCAAGGACACCAAAAAAAGCTAATGCATCTCCCCTGCTCTTCTCACTACTTAATCTCAGTATAAACTGTACCCCGAGTCCAAAGAGTGGGTGGGCTTAAGGATGTAAAGGGTCCAGCCTTAACAGGTGGGACAGCAACTGGTTGGTGAGGTCACTTAGCTTTTGCTCTAGTCTCCACCAGGCTGATGCCAGCCAGTCCTCTGGCCATTCAGGCACTTGTTTATCCTGCTCTTGCTAATTGGGTTGGCATTTGGCTTGTCACCAGGTATTTGGGATGCTCTCAGGGAGAGAAAGTGTTGAGAAATATAAACCATCACCTTAATAATTGGTATGATATTTCAGGATCTCTGAATCTCTTTCTTTGTGTGATATTTCTGGAGAGAAAAATCCACTAATAAACCCTTTTAAAATTAATGTTAATGGGCCTGTTAACTGTCGCTAAGATATGAGTATCTTTCTCTCAAGATGGTCACTGTAGGAGGCTGATTAAAAACACTTTGACTTTTTTTTTGGTCAGACAGAAGATAGTATTATATCTTGCATGTAATCAATTAATTAAACTTTTCAACATCATCCAGGAATAGCCTTAACGATGAGTTTATTATGAAAGAGGACACTTGGCGTGGAATGAATGCATGAGGGGCTCCAGCACACTGCCAAACCATCTATTTTTGGGGTTAAGAATATATTAAAATTCCAGTTTTATGACTTTTATCTATGTCCTTCTCAAACGTCTTTGAATTTGTCAGTACTTTCACAATTTAGCCTAATAAAGTCGCATAGTTCTTAATTCCTAGGGAAAGAATAGTATCAGGGTTGGGGGAAAAAAAAAGTTCATACTTTCCCGGGGTCTTAGCAAATAGTTGTGTAATATTTGAACTAGTAATTTTTTTAGGGGGCAGGGGAGACAGAGTCTTGCTCTGTCGCCCAGGCTAGAGTGCAGTGGTGCGATCTCAGCTCACTGCTCGACTCAAGCAATTCTCTCACCTCAGACTCACATGTACCTGGGACTACAGGTGCACATCACCATGCCCAGCTAGTTTTTGTACATTTATTTTAGCAGAGACAGCATTTTACCATGTTGCCCAGGCTGGTCTTGAACTCCTGGCTTTAAGCTATCCACCCACCTTGGCTTCCCAAAGTGTTGGGTTTATAGGCATGAACCATTGCACCTGGCTTTTGAACTACTGATTCTGATTATGAATTTCCCATTGCTTAATGGCATTATAGTGAATTTTTTAAAACAAAATATTTAGCGTAATCAAAAATATAACACAATAGCCATCAAGTTGTTTGGGAGTAGGTGGGTGTCACAAAATCAAACAACATTGAATGTCACCAAGCAAAAGGACTGAGGGTCATGAAACTGAGTGGAGAGGTCTTAGAGACAAGAGAGTGGTGCCCTCTAACCCAGGAGGAGAGAAACCAGGCAGCAACGAGGCCACGGAGGCCAGCAGAGGGCAGAGGCATGGTGGGCAGACCACCCTCTCCTGTGCCAGCTCTTGGCATGGAGAACTAGCTCACCTTTCGGGTTAGCCTTCTCTTGATCTCTCTCTTCTCCTCCTGTTCCTCTTGTTCATTCCGAGCTGAAAGAAATATTTAAGATGTTTTTTATTTCAGTTAACAGTGCTGTGTGTACAGGGGCATCCTTTGGACCTTGGCAGGCTCTAGGCTAAGCATCTCAGTTTGACAAAGGGAAGAGGGCGCTCCTGTCCCCTCCCCAAGCTGCCCTTCTCTTTATGGGGACTGTTTTCCAAACTACCTGGGTTGTTTCAAATTGCTCCTGAGCAGGTTGACTTTGTCATTTTGCTTTCTTTACATCACATGGAGTCTCAGGTCTCCAGGCAGAGATACTGGGTTGAGAAATGGGGCTACAAGGGAGGAAGGTAGGTTTTTATTTTATTTTTTAGACACTCATTCTCTCTCCCAAGCTAAAGTGCAGTGGTGCAATCGTAGCTCACTGTAGCATCAAACTCCTGGGCTCAAGTGATTCCCCTACCTCAGCCTCCCAAGTAGCTAGAAGTATACATGCACACCACCACACCTGGCTAATTTTTAAAATTTTTTGTTGAGAGGTTGGGGGGGTCTCATTATGTTGTTCAGGCTGGTTTTGAACTCCTGGCATCAAGCGATCATCCTGCCTTGGCCTCTCAAAGTGCTGGGATTACAGGTGCGAGCCACTGCACAGCCCAAGGAGGTGGGTGAGAATGTTGACACAGGGACACATGGGCATTTGGGGAGATATGAGGCTCCTTTCTTTGGATAAGACTAGGGCTCACTCATTCTCTATTGAGCTCCCAGACACTGAAGAGGGCTCATTGTGATGTGGTCCTTGTGTCTGGTGCCCTGTGGGGGTAGGGAGAGCAGAAGACCAGCCTCAGCCTGCTGCAGGAACAAGACAAGGCCGGGGGATTTTCAAAATGCTCACCTTTTACAAGCCCTGATCCCATCGATTCTTTGAATCTTCTGAGAAGTCCACAGAGCACGGGTGAGGCCAGAGTGTGGGATACAATTGCCCGCATTTAGACTTTTTAGGAGTGGCTCAGAAGAGTAGACTGCAGAGCCTATAAGCTTTTGGCTTAATATATGGGTGATTTACTCATCAGATTTTTAAAGAGCTGTGGATTACAGAGTGTGGGGAAGGGAGCAGATAGTTGAGGGGCAGAGAATCTGGGCTTATTTCTCCTTTTAAGCTAACTGGATGACTTGGGGTAGATCATTTCCCTTCCGGACCTTGGAAGAATTCCTTGATATCTATAGAAGCACAGATAGCAGCATAGCATTGTTGGACTTGAACAAAACTGTGGAAGTCAGCTTGTATCGAAGGCCTGTGATCCTCAGCCATTACATTTCAAATGGCGTTAGTAAAAGGAAACATGTTGATTTTGGCAGAGCGTGCATCACAACTGCCTGGGACACTTGTTTGCTCATTCTGAAAAATCACAGTTGTTGAATTATATTTCGGTAACTTCATTAGTTTGTTGTATTGGTGCACACATGAAATTCAGGTATGGTTGCTGACTGTCTCAGTGTGGGACAGGTCTTTAAAGAAGGACACCGCTGTGCCTAGAAAGGGGTGGGGACCGTCTGATAACTGAGTCACCTTCATGCTAAAGGTGACTATACCTCCCACTGGCACAAGTGGTGTGAGTTCAGAGCAGAACTCAGACCCCCGAGGGCCACCCCTATGGACATGATTTGGGCCCCCGACTACCTGTGGGCAGCAGGCTCTGCAGAAAAGCAGCACAAGAAACAGCCACATCTTGCTGTGGGCTGAGGTCATCAGAGGTCCCTGCTCCAGCCTACCCTACACTGCCTGAAACCGTCACCATGAGCGAAACTTTCCTTTGGATTTAGAGATCTTATCTCCCTCCTGGAGTTGTTTTTCTTTTAAATGCAAATTTCTCTTGAATAAAAGCCCATTAAACTAGTCAGCCATTAATAGCTCAGTATTAATCTAGCAGAGATAAACTGGGGAGCAGACAGCAAAACCCGGAAGCAGGGAGCCCCCACACAGTGACATTTGTACAAATGCAAATTTCAGTGGGATACGACCTATGAAACTAGCCAGCCGTTAATATCTTGAATTATTCTAGCAGAGATAAATGGGGAGGCAGACAGCAAGAACCAGGAGGAGGGAGCTCCCATTCGGAGCTGTCTCAGGTGGGAGGACAAACGGAAGGAAAGGTGGTCTGGATGCTGAGTCGCTGGGAGCAGCTACAGGGCACGTGGTGAAAATTTCAGAGGCACAGAATACTAGGGCCATGAAGGGCCTAGTGACCACCCAGTCTACCACTCCTGGTTTGTAATTGAGGATCTGAAGGCTCAGGGGTGTTAAGAGGCTAGTCACCCCCTTACTGGCTCAGTGGTTACACCGATAGGATTTTTCCTGTGGTCATGTTTTGCATGGGGCTGGCTCTCCTCATTACTAGCCTCAGACTTCTGACCCTACAGGCCCCTTCAGAGCTGTGGAGGGGGCATTCTGTGATGCAGCTGACCGAGCATGGAACTTTCATCTCCTATGTGTGCTTCTTAGGTTACTCTGAGGGGTGGGGCCACAAGCTACCACCTACAGAATCGATACCTTTAGCTCAAAGCCATTGACAAACCCAGGTTCATGAACTCTCAGGCAGAAGGTACCAAGACAACCCCATTAGGCAACTGGGAAGACAGGCCAGGAAAGGCCCACAATGTCATCATTACAGCTGCCACCATCAGAGGGTTCATTATGTGCTCAGAGGTGCACAGGGCCTCTCTGGCTGCTGGACAGAACAAGGGCTGTTCCCAGGGCCAGGCTGGGTGGGGCTGCAAACTAACCCAAGGCTCTCCCAGCTCCAGGGCTGAGCCATGACGTCTCTGTGCCCTGTTCCCCACCACCCAACACCGAGCAGTTCCTCAATGACTGAAAGCTCAGAAAATCAGATTTAGAACAAGCTGTTGGAGGATGTCGTCTTATACCACTAGAAATTTCTTGTTTAACAATTGCAATATATTACATTAAAAAAAATAGGAGCACACAGTTCCAGAATACAGGGAAAAATAAGAACTTATGGGAAAACAAGTTGATTTCTGTAAAGTTTCAAAACTATTAAATGATCAACCTGTTTGAATTGGTCAAGTAGTTCTTTAATTTGCAACTGTGTGGCCAGGACAAGAGGGATTAGGGAAGAGGATAAAAGAGAACCATGGGAACAATCTTCCACAACTCTTTTTAGTCCCCTGAATTTAAGTTCCCTGCTTAGATGGCGGTAAAAACCCAAGCTCAACAGACTTGTGGTGTCCCAGGGATCTGGGCAAACCACAGGCGGGAACTGATGCCTTTGAGAGAATCCAGAACTGAGCTGGGGGATTTTAGATCTCTTTCCAGAAACCGAACTCCTGGTGTGATAAGCACTATTTTCTGAAACCTAAATAATCCCCCAGAGGTTTTTAGCTTCTTTGAGTTTAGGCCTCAGGTCAGAGGCCACAAACACAGCAGGGGGCAGTGAGTAAGTTGCACAGGTTCACCTGGCTGTTTATCTTTCTCTCCAAAAATGGAAAGTTTATAATGCCTCAAGTACCAGATTGGGGCATAAAAAAAGACATCGTACAGGCCAGTTGCTTCTCTGACTTTGGAAATCCTTTGTAAAAGCTCTAAATTCATTATAGAGAATATTAAGCTTGGAAACTTTTAAGGGGTACCCCTTGGGCAGAAAAAAGTAAACATCCATTCCTAGAGACCTAGGAAGTGCGTAGGGCACACCTAGGACTGACAAAGGCCAATCCCCAAAACAAGTTCCACTGAGAGCTGAGGAAGTGGCAGTTGGCGTGGGGCCGGGAGGCAGGATGTTGATAAAGGCAAACTTGACATAAATGGACATGTGGGGACGTCGGGGGTGGGGGTGGGTGCTGCAGGCAACAGGGCCCCCCTAATCAGACCAGAACCCAGCACCTACCCTTAGCAGACCGCGAAATGCCAACCAAGTCACAAGGCTACAGTGAGCATAGCAGGATGGTAAAGTGAAGACTGTTAGTGTGGTTACAGTGGAAATACCCTGGAAACTCACACTGTGGTTGCATGTGACTGACTGGGCGGGGGAGTGGGGGGGCGGTATGCGTCTGTACAACACAGCATTTCTAGAAAACTCTGCATAGTATATATCTTTCTTTTCTGGACAGAAATTAGAAGCGTGTTGTGGGGTAGGGGGAACAGGGTCATGAATTAAGCCAGAAATATCTGTTGACTATCTTGAGTGTTGGTGAGAATGGCAGTACTAACTGAATAGAATGGTTTGATTTTTAAATTATTTCAAATCCACCACTAAACTCATGCATACTGGTGTCCATCAAATGCTTGATCTCTTTTAGTATTTCTTTTTTTCTTTCTTTTTTTTTTTTTAAGCACCAACTGGATCCTGTGTACATACTCAAATATCTCTGTGTCCTAAACCAAACAAGGGGCTCATTTATTTTTTTCTGTCTGCGGTGTTGGTGAAAAGCACTTTTCCTCGAATGAGTACATCAGACAGGCATGCCTGGGACCAGCTGTGGGAATCCTGAGAGACAGACATGAAGCACTTCACTTGGAAATGCTTTCTGAGTCTTGACATTTAAAGTTCAATGGAACGAGGGATTTTTGTCAAAAGCAGCCAGCTGCAATGCAAAGTCATGCTTTCTAGGCTCAGTTCAAACGGCATTTCCCTTATTTTAGCCGCCTGTATGACAGTCTCCGTTTTAAAGCCAATTCTGGTTTAAAGGTGACCCTACCCTCAAAAATCATTAAATAGTAAGTGGTCTCACTCTAATTTTTCAGCTTCTCTCTGACTCTACAACTCCCTAAAGGGAAGGTTCTGCCGGCAGTCTGTGAGCTTCTAAAGAACAAAGTGGAATAAAATTTGCCTTCTCTTTGGGGAGGTCGTCTTTGGTGTTCTAACAACGCACGGATGAAGCCTCAACCATTAGAAAGGTTTTCAGTCGTTTCCGCACAGGCGCAAGTTAGAAACCTTGTGGCCTACCATTAAATAATAACAAAAGCTGCCACAAAACACCAGTGATCGCCATGGGCTTAGTCACTTACGTTTCAAAATGTTCCTCTGTTCCAGTTCCTCTGCAGTTGGCCTCTGGCTCAGCCGCCTACGGAAAAAATCCAGGAAAAGTTTTTGGACCATATCATAGCCTCCTTGGGTCATTAATCTCCTCGGCCCTTGCAGATACACAAAACAGAGTCAGTGGCTGGAGTTCTTGTTCCATCCTGTGTTCTGAAAGACTGACTCTCCCCACCACCGCCTCCTCAGTTCCTCAATTTCAAGCCCAGGAGAGGTATGTGCGTCATGTCACAGCCGCTGACCCCCGCCCTCCTCCCTCCAGCGGCCCCTCCCCAGCCCTGGCTCCTCCAGTGCCCCCAGGCATGTGGACTGCAACTTAGACGTGACTCTTTCCTTCACAGAAGTCCCTTTCTTTCCTTGTGGCCTCCTAACTTGGGGACCATGGCCTCTTGCCTCTCTCTCCCTTGAGGCTAAAACCTGTCTTCTGCCTCTTCTGTGCAGACCCAGTCGGAACATAAAGAGGCCTGTGGCCATGGGGACATGTGAGAGAGTGTGTCTGTCTGCAAAGAACAATAGCTGCTCTTCTTCTGGTCCTGCTCTTCTATTCCGGAGCCTTAGAAGACGTGAGTGACAGAGGAACAGAAATGACACTCCTGTGGCCAGGCATGAAATTTAGCCACCGTAAGTGATACATCATAGCCAGGGCATGAGCCTGCGATGACGCCATGGGTGGAGGCAGGGACAGGCAGCGGGTGGCATGTTGTGACAGAAGTAGCCAAGGAACGGGCATGGCATCTGAGGGGAGAATGTCTGTATTAGGTCCCAGGAATGACTGACATGGACTCAGGGGGCCTAAGCAGGAACAGACAGCTGTACCTTTGAAGCTCTTGGTAATTATTTAACAACCCTGCAACTATCCGACATTCCACTTCACTCATTGGGATGAAGTGTGTCGGAGACTAAATCATTGTGGAGAGAATTTTAGGCTTCTCAGAGACCTCAGCTGGGATCTAAGGGGTAGTGAGGATGCTCTCTCAGTTGTGGAAGTTGCAGTCCCTCCTTGGGAATTAGAAACTGGCAAAATATTCACATCCCGAAATCTGAAGAGAGACCCTACAATGAAAATATCAAGTGAATGAAGTCTCCAAATATAACTACAGTTGGTTCTCTGTATCCATGAGTTCCACATCCTTGGGTTCTGCCAAGTGCAGATGGAAAATATTAAGAAAACAACGACACACACAAAAAAGCAACAGTCTAATGATTATTGATACAGCATTTATCTTGTATTAGATACAAGGCTGTATAGCCTGCAGAACAATGAGCCAGTTAAACTTCTTTATAAATTAGATATTATAATTTAGAGATGATTTAAAGGATATGGGAGGCTATGCATAGTTTTTTGCAAATACTATGCCATTTTATATAAGGTACTTGAGGATCCTTGGATTTTGGTATCCAAGGGAGTCCTGGAGTCAATCTCCCAGAAAAGACTATATATTTAATTCAAAGCTTGTTGTCCTTTGTATTTCTCTTTATTGCACTGTGCCAGAATGAATTGCTTCTGTGACATTCCAGTGTTACCACCACACATTGTATATAGGGAATGGGTTTCAACATCTTACATAGTTTGGATATTTGTCCCTGCCCAAATATCAAGTTGAATGGTAATCCCCATTGCTGGGGGTGAGGCCTGGTGCAAGGTGCTCGGATGGGGCTCCCTCATGGCTTGGTTCTGTCTTCTTGACAGTGAGTTCTTGAGAGATCTGGTTATTTAAAACTACGTGCCGAAACCTCATCTCTACTAAAAATACAAAAATTAGCTGGGCATGGTGGTGCATGCCTGTAATCCCAGCCACTTGGGAGGCTGAAGCAGGAGTATCACTTGAACCTGGGAGGTAGAGGTTGCAGTGAGCCAAGATTGTGCCACTGCACTCTAGCCTGGGCAATAAAGTGAGACTGTCTCAAAAGAAAAAGAAAAAAAAAAAGTGTGTGTGGCACCTCCCTGCCATGTGATATGCCTTCTTCTCCTCCTTCACCTTCCTTCATGATTGGAAGCTTCCTGAGGCCTCCCTAGAAGTCAAGCAGATGCCAGGACCATGCTGCCTATACAGCCTGCAGAACCAGGAGCCAAGTAAACCTCTTTTCTTTATATATTACCCAGTCCCAGGTATTTCTTTATATTAATGCAAGGATGGCTTCATACAGTGCCAGAGAAAGGAGTTTTGGTCACATTACCTGCCTGTCAAACCTATAGCACCCTGAAAGTGTGGGAAATTGCATTCCAAAGTATTCTTAAGAGTACAAAAACATTTTCCTATTATTCCTTTTCAAAATATCCCTGTGGTATAATCAAAACATAATTGTCTTTGACCCAGTTCCTATCACAGAACACCCAAAACCCTTGGAATTTCTGGAGTCTCAGAAGTATATTGTGTTACTTGGAATTGAGTCCCTTGGGATCACACTAGAGTTTGTGCTAATTTGGTGACAGGATGGGGCTGGCCACCAGAAGGATCACATGGTTAGAAGCCTGGACTTTCAGCTGGGAAGCGGGAGGGTAGGGGCTAGAGGTGAAGTTCTATGGAAACTCTTAAACCACAAGATTAGATGAGCTTCCAGGTTGCTGACCACGGGGCTGGGGGGCACTGCAGGAAGGGTGGCACCCAGATGGTGCACAGAAGCTCTGCCTCTCTCCCCCAGTACCTTGCCCTGCCCATCTCTTCATCTGGCTGTTCATCTGTTTCCTCTGTAAGAAACTGGTAAAATAAGTGTTTCCCTGAGTCCTGTGAGCTGCCTTAGCAAATTACTTGAACACAAGGAGGGAGTTGTGAGAACCTCAATTTATAGCTCGTGGGTCACAGGTGACAACCTATGACTTGGTATTGGCATCTGAAATGGGGGACAGTTCTGTGGGACTGAGTCCTTAACCTGTATGATCTGATGCTATCCCAGTAGAAAGGGTCAGAATCAAATTGAATTACAGGACGCCCAGTTGGTGTCTGCTGAAGTATTGCTTGGTGTGTGGGGAACTGCCTCACACAGAAGCGTGTGGGGTCACAGAAGTATGTCATGTTAAGTGTGAGAGTAGAGTGAAAAAAGTTTCTTTTTTTTTTTTTGAGAAGGAGTTTAGCTTTTGTTGCCTAGGCTGGAGTGCAGTGGTATGATCTCAGCTCACTGCCACCTCCGCCACCTAGGTTCAAGCGATTCTCCTGCCTCAACCTAAGTAGCTAATTTTTACCATGCCCAGCTAATTTTTTGTGTTTTTAGTAGAGACATCCTTTCACCATGTTGGCCAGGCTGGTCTTGAACTCCTGACCTCAGGTGATCCACCTGCCTCAGGCTCCCAAAGTGCTGGGATTACAGGCATGAGCCACCAAGCCCAGCCAAAGTTTTTTTTTTTTTTTCTTTGGGATCCCATTAAGACATTTTTGATCCCCATTGACAAGGGCCAGCTGGATGTTTGGAAATTCACAACATTAGAGGGTCTAAATTTGGACGCGGTCATCTTTGAGTCCTTTCTAAAATAGCATTCTCACGCTGCGGGAGGAAAGTGATGATTATACAACTGAGTGAGCTAGTGTCAGAGGTCTGGAATGCAGCTCATCAACTACACTTTGAAAGATCTTAACAGCTCTTTCTCACCTGCCAGTTAATTTTCCCTAAAAATACTTGCTTCTTTTATAAGGGATGCACAGCCACTTTTATGGACTGGTTTGGCAATACCCAGGCTTTCAATGAAGCTAAGCTTTGGGGGCACTATGTTTTGAGAAAGCCTTGTAAATGTGGGTGGCGCCTGCATCTTGGAGGTTAGGCCAGTGTTTTGGAGTCTTATGCAAAGTGTCTGTAGACTACAATGTTCCCTCATCAGCTCAGGCTGTGCCAGCCATTGTTTTCATTACTGAACATGACAACTGGCTCTGTGGTGTGTGTGTGTGTGTTTTAATGGGTGGTCATATTTTGAGGAGGCAAAACTGAGTGACTAGACTCTGATCAGAGAAAATTGTTATTAAGTAGGCTGCTTTATAGTCAAACACAGCTAATTTCAAAGAGGTCCTCTGTCTGTGTTTCATTTCTCTGGAAAGGGACTGAGAACATCAAGACTAATCATAGCTATAAAATGCAGCTGAGCCCTCCAGAATGGCATGTGCTATAGTTAGTTGTTTTGACCTTGAAAATGAGATTTGAGAGAAAAATGATATGGTGGCATTGTAATGACAAAGCACTAAGTAGCTCAGGAGCTAGGAGGTTTGGGGTCTAGTCCTAGCGCTGCTCTGAACCTATGTAGCTCACACAGGGTATCAGATCCTGCCAGGCCTGTCTTCTTTTCTCTGCAAATAATAAATACTAATAAGCTAAAGCTGATTTAATGCCTATAATGTAAGGGTATTGTTCCAAGCACTGTGCGTATTTCAATTCATTTAATCTTTATGTCAAGATGTTTAACTGATCCAATTATAAAGTCTCCTTTGCTCTGGGAAGTTACATATTTGTAGATTTGGGGATTAGGATGTGGACATCTTGTGCAAGGGTGGTATTTTGTCCGCCATAATCACGATACTTTACTAGTCAGAAGTTGCAAACTGACACCTGGTGCACTGGATTTGACTCTGTCAGTTCTCTTTGGCATGTTCAGAGCTTACACTTTTTTTTTTTTTTTTTGAGATGGGGGTCTCACTCTGTCACCCATGCTGGAATGCAGTGGTACCATCTTGGCACACTGCAACCTCTACCTGCTGGGTTCAAGTGATTCTCTTGCCTCAGCCTCCTAAGTAGCTGGGATTACAGGCACCTGCCACCATGCCAAGCTAATTTTTGTATTTTTAGTAGACATGGGGTTTTGCCATGTTGGCCAGGCTGGTCTCAAACTCCTGACCTCAGGTGATCCACCCGCCTCAGCCTCCCAAAGTGCTGGAATTGCAGGCATGAGACACTGAACCTGGCCGGTTACACTTTTTTTTTTTTTTTTTTTTTTTTAGCCTGAATGCCTTTAGACAGAGTGTGTGTTCAATTAGCCCAGTCCCCAGGCCTCACTTAGATAATACAAGTGAGCACACTCACATCTATCTTGCCTTTTTTTTTTTTTTTTTCCAGATAATTCCTGGCCCCCAAGGGACTCTGCGTTTGAGACCTCTGGATGAGATCATCAAGTGATAAGAATTCCAATTTTCGTTTTCCTAAGTCTTTCATCTGCCAATCTACCCAACATGAACTAGGGGCCACATAGTAGGCCAGGCACGTTCTTAAGGGGCTCACAGACTGGAGGTGTACATCTGTGATTACAATGTGCATGGTAAAACTGGATCGGCAGTTTTCAAGGACTGGAATGTAATAAAATATCCTCAAAACAATAAGCAAGTTGGGCATGACTTAGACTTTCACTGCCCATGTAGAAGGGACTGTACATTCTTGCAGCATCTCAGCTGGACATCAAGAGCTGAGTCAAACAAATCCATTCAGCGGTGGCATGGAAGTGGGGCTGGCTGGGCACAAGGCAAAACTGTGAAGGGGATAAAGTGCCTGTGGTTCTGCCTTGACTCTGGTCCCTGGAGTCTTCTCCTCTCGAGTTCTTAGAATTATGTCATTACTCTTGCTCTATCTCATCCTGTCAAGACTTGTTTTAGAAATTGGTGCCAGAGAGTTAGCTGCATTCAAATGTAAACTCATTCTTCATTTAGCAAGTTACTTATTAGTGCCAGCTCTGTGTCAGGTTCTATATTAGGTACCAGGGGAGTACAGTGATGAGCAAAACCAGTTCTGCTCTTCTGGAATAGAGAAGATTGGAAGAGGATGGGGGGAGGGGCGGGTCACCATTAATCAAAGAGCCACAGAAGTAAGTGTAAAATGTAGCTGGAGTAAGGGCCTCCATGGTGAGGTGCTTGGTGCAGGGATCCCTGGATCTGACCAAACAGGCTTCCAGGAGGAAGTGACACTGTGCCCAGAGCGCAGGGATGGAAGAAGGATGCTCCCTCTGGGCAGAGAGTAAAGGGAGAAGGATGGTGGGAAGGAGGGCAGGGGCCAGATGCTGTGGGTATGATTTGGATCTGTGTCCCCACCCAAATCACATGTCAAACTGTAATCCCCAGTGTTGCAGGTGGAGCCTGGTGGGAGGTGACTGGATCATGGAGGTGGTTTCTCATGAACAGTTTAGCACCAACCCCTTGGTGCTTTTCTAGTGAGAGTGAGTGCATTCTCGTGAGATCTGGTTGTTTAAAAGTGTGTAGCACACTTCCGTCTTGCTGCTGCTCCCCCTATGTGAGACCCCTTGCTTCCCCTTCGTTTTCCACCATGATTAGAAGCTTCCTGAGGCCTCCTCAGAAGCAGATGCCAGCATCACGCTTCCTGTACAGCCTGCAGAACAGTGAGCCAATTAAACCTCTTTTCTTTATAAACTCCCCAGCCTCAGGTATTGCTTCACAGCAGTGCAGAATGGCCTAATATAGCTGCTTCCAGGATTTTGATCTTCTTTTTCTAGGAGCAATGTGAAGCCACTGAAGAATTTAAGTTTCAGGGTGTGAGAGGAGAGGCATGAATGAAATGATCAGACTTACAATGGAAAAAGATCACGCTGGTTGTTATACGGAGAAGGGATTGGGGGAGGCCAGAGGTAACCTGAGGAGAGGCTTCGGGAAGCTTGGCACAGCTAGTAAGAGACGATGGAGGCTTGGGTGAGGCTGTGCGGCGATGTGCAAACTCTTAGAAAGTCATGTAGACGCAGCATATGAGTGGACAGGAAGAAGCAGGTGTGCAGAAGATCTCCTTAGGTTTTCTAACTCATGCAACTAGATGGATGGGAATGCTGTTCACTGAGGCAGGGGCATTGCAAGAGGACCAGTGTGTCTGTGAAGGAAGAAAACCATGAATTTGAGTTTGGATCTGTTTCTCTGTTGTCAGAATCCTCCTGAGACACATGAATGAAGCTGTCATGTAGACAGCAGGGTACATTTAGCTCTGTGGGGAGGAGAGGTCTAGGCCAGTGAGAGAGTCTGCAATAGAAACAATATTTGAAGTCATGAGTGTGGAGAGAGTAGAGAATGGGAATTGGAGAGGGCTTAGGACGGAACCCTGCAGAATTCCAGTATTGAATGCATGGACTAGAAGATGACCCTGCTGTGGATTCTGAGGAGGGGCAGTTCTTGGAGGTAGGATAAGGACTAAAATGTCATATCATGGAAGCAAAGTAATGGGAAAGAAAATACAGTAACTAATGCTAAGGCTTTCTGAAGTGGAGTCAAAGGTTGCAAGAGGATCACACTCACACCTGCTGAAGGTCAAACCAAGGGATGTTCCAACAGACTCAGTTAAGCAACTGAAGTGAGCCTCTGCTGGCCTTCAACACCTTAGCTGAGAGTACTGTCATTAACTAACCAATCACAGCAGGTTTGTGATTTAGGATTTCTGCCTGGCTAATGAACTACTTCTGAAGATCACTTAAAAGTGTTTCGTGACAATCCTCCATTTAAAAAAACCAAATCTCACCTGCAACCTGTGTTATTGGGCACTCTTCAGGGCTTCCCTGATTTGGTGTACCCCAACTGCCATTCTTTGCTTCCCAAATAAGTGCTATCTGCTTTGACCTCTATGTCAATCTTTTCGTTAACAGTAAGACAATAGGTATGGCCAACAGAGTGCTGAGTGCTGGCCGGGCACGGTGGCCCACACCTGTAATCCTAGCACCTAGGGAGGCTGAGGTAGGCGGACTGCCTAAGATCAGGAGTTCGAGACCAGCCTGGGCAGCATGGTGAAACCTTGTCTCTACTAAAAATACAAAAAAAGCTGGCCAGGTATGGAGGTATGCACCTGTAGTTTCAGCTACTCAGGAGGCTGAGGCAGGAGAATTGCTTGAGTCTGGGAGGTGGAGGTTGCAGTGAGCTGAAATAACACCACTGCACTGCAGCCTGGGTGACAGAGCGAGACTCCGTCTCCCAAAAGAAAAAAAAAATTACTGAGTGCTACTGTAAGGTTAGATGAGGCCTGAAAAAATGCCCACTAGGTTTAGCACCATGGAAGCTATTACTGACAATACCTAGAGCCCCTTCAGTGGGGTGGCAGGAAGAGAAGCCAGATTGGAGAGGGCTGGGGTCAGAGGTGTGAAAATGGATGCAAGGAGGATGGAGGACTCAGCCATGAAGCCTGGCTTTGAAGGAGGTGAGAGAAGTGGAAGTGAAGGAGGCTGTGGTAGAATTCGATTTTACTTATTTTTTTCAGAGATGGGGCCTCACTCTGGTCACCCAAGCTGGAGTGCAGTGGCACCACCTTGGCTCACTACAGCCTCAACTCCCTGGGCGCAAATGATCCTCTCACCTCAGCCTCTTCAGGAGCTGAGATTATACGCATGCCTCACCATGCCTAGCTAATTTTTAATTTTTGATAGAGTTGAGGTATTTCTGTGTTGCCCAGGCCAGTCTCAAACTCCTTGGTTCAAGCTGTCCTCCCACCTTGGCCTCTCAAAGTGCTGGGATTATGGCTGTGAGCTACCACACCTGGACACATTTTATTTTATTGTATTGTATTTTTTTTTTCTCAGACAAGGGCTCACTCTGTCACCCGGGCTGGAATGCAGTGGTGCAATCTCAGCTCACTGCAACCTCCACCTCCCAAGTTCAAGTGATTTTCCTGCCTCAGCCTCTTGAGTAGCTGGGATTACAGGCATGTGCCACCATACCCAGCTAATTTTTGTATTTTTAGTAGAGATGGGGTTTTGCCATAGTGGTCAGGCTGGTCTTGAACTCCTGACCTCAGGTGATCTGCCCACCCCTGGCCTCCCAAAGTGCTGGAATTACAGCATGAGTCACTGTGCCTGGCCCAAATTTTATTTTTTAATGGAAGAAAATGGGGCATGCTGAATGGAAAAGAATCCAGATTAGGTGGTGGGGAGTGAGTTCAATTACCTCAGCATAGGAAGAAGATAGAGATGGTAAGAGGCTTACCCAGTTAAGTCTGTTTACCCCACATTCCTTTGTCTCTAACTGTTTACTCATGTCAACTTTGTGCAGGATGGTCCTCTCAGGGGGAGATCAAAGGGGAATTACCCATTAACGGTGTTTATTCTGGGCCCTGGAACCTAAAGCTTTTATCATTTGTAAAAGCATTCTTTTAATCATCTTAATTATCCACAAGTGTGTTGACTTAGAACCTCTGTTATGAAATCTTTACTGAATAAATGTGAGGATGGGACAGGGGGTCTTGGTTGACTGGCTGCACGAGCCCTCTGAAAGCAGCCAACAAGCATCCCTAACCCACTTTTATCACTGAAATGGGCATGAGAGTGCATTTATTCATACATTGTTGAGTCAGGGTCCGCAGGCCAGACCTCTGCAGGTGGTAACTAGTGTCTCAGGTGGTGACCCTGACATGATTGAGGTCACAGGTGGTGACCCCAACATGACACTCACCACATCTTGAGAAGGCAGGAGGGCTTGGGATCCAAGGGATGGAGGTGGCTTTATTTTTGAGTGGAAGAGGAACAGCTCTTTCCTGGGACAATGGGGAAGCAGGACAGAGTGGATTGCCTGTAGATGTGCAATGTTCAGTACTGGAATTATAAAGGAGTTACCAATTGGTAGCTTTTGCTTATTCTTTCAAGTTGAACTATACTGAAGATGAGTTATTTTAGCTTAAAATATTACCTTTCATTGGGAGATCTGTCCTTGAACAGAGACAAATTCATAAACCCAAGGCATAAAGCTCCAGCTTTGGAATTCTAGTCATCAGAGTTTATGGGGGACACCCAGGGCATCTTGCCATCTTCACCAACAAAGTAGCCATCTGCTCAGCTCATTTTATGATCGATCTACCTGGTGCATCTATTAAGTATTGGTTAAGAGAAAGCTGAGCAGCAGAGCACAGTGACATGGTCACTTGTATGAATCATCCCAAGGAGCTGATAACTCCAAGAATCAAAGTTAAGATGTGTTGCAGTAGCACGCTCAGTGTAAGCAACTCCAGCAAAGATGCCTTCTGAATAGACTGCATCTCCCTTGCTCCCACCTTGCCAGTAGATTTAACTCCTTGTATCTGATTAAAACTGACAGTAAATTAAAAAAAAAATCCTGACTACATATCTATACGTAATCACTTAGCTAGGTGTCAAAGGCAATGATTTTTTGGAGATAAATTTTTATATAAAATGAATCATCCAAAATTAAATGTTTAATGTACTTTCAAGTGATGTTAAGTAACTTTGTTAATATACATGTGACCCTGGTTTATAAAATATCTCTGAGCAGTGAAATGGTTTCCATGCCTCAAATAATTTTTTCTTTCCCATGCACTATGGCTAAATAATTCTCCATTTATGGTGAACTGAAAAGTCTCTGGGTTTCTGTTTAAATGCCACATGCCATCAATTGCCATATGTGAGTTTTCTATTTTCTTTAAAAATTTAAGATTGGATCTTGCCTCTTTTTCAGTCTGAACAATGCTGACTATAAGAAATAATCAAATAAATGGAAGCTTTCTTTTTGCATAGACAGATTGACAAAAACAAGAAAAGTCCAAAACAAAGGACACCAGTTTTAACCTTGGAAAAAGATGACTGGTAGAGAATGTAGCAGCAAGATGCCTTAAATGTATGCAAAGCAGGCAGCATTGTCTTTGCACATTACAGCATTTCCCTAGAGAAGTGACAAAACCCTTGTAGGTTTTGCTGGTCTGACTTGTTGAGGCCCACAGAGATTAGTTCTGCTGCACAGAGCTAATGGGCTTTCTGCCGGTTCCAGAACACCAAGGTCACAGCTTTCATTAGCATTTACAACTGCTTATTATTTTGAGGGCCCTGATTCTAAAGTCTGGATCTCTGAAGCTGTATCTGCATTTCAGGACAAGGATAAAACAGAATTTAACTTGGGTTTTCTGCATCTCAGCACCAGAGGGAGGTAACTGCATTTTCAGACAGATGGAAAGAGAAAATGCAAAAGACCTCGTGGAAAATGACGGAAAATCAGGTCCTCTCTCCAAAAGGAGGAGGAGATGGGGTTTTCTAACAGGCATCCTAGATGGGAGACTGAACAAGCGTAGATGGGCATGGTGGGACCAGGGGAAAGGGAGAAGCGCTGAATTCTACCCCCTGCACATCCT